TTAAAAGTATAATGACTAATAAAGTAACTAAATGTTTTTATAAAAATTCCCAATCTTAGTTACTTTAAGAAAAATGTGCAATGATGTTATTCCATGAAATTACACTTTGTACCCCTACCAAGTCATTAGTGGAGCGTGAGTGGATAACCGATACACTAATATGGACTAGCAATGATGGCAAAGGGTGACTCGCTGTTTATCATTAATCAATGGACTGTGTGTGGTTAACTGGCACATTGATTAGGTGGTAAATGACATCAAGGGTACCAAGTATATTTGCATGGTTATTCACACCTTGTTTGTGATCCTCGGTATCCCAATCAAAAACTTTAAGGGCTTATTGAGATTTAAACATGCCATTGAAAATTTCAATGAATCTCAAAATATCTTGGAGTTTTCAATACATTTAAAACTTAATTTCGTTTTGTTTTTCATGGTGGAAATTAGTGAATCGTCATTCACTTACCTTCAAATTATTTGTTGTTTATATTACGGCATCCCTCTTCTAAATTATGAATAATGTTGTTGGGTCCTAGCCCTAATTTCTCATTTGGGTGTTTAACTGGGGATTCTAATCTAATCAAACTTTGTCTATTTTTATTTTTAGATGTCTAATTCAAAGAACAACGCTTCTAGCTCAACCCCTGCTGGCTCATTCTTACTCATGAATTTGTGTGGGAGGGTGATTTTTGACGAAACCAATTTGTGTGGGAGGCTCATTCTTACTCATGATTGGATCTGTAATATCCGCATGGTTACCCGCTACAAGGACAAGGAGAATGTTCTCGAAAAGGAGCTAAAGTAGGTTGACACCAACACTGCTACTCCCGAAGAGATTCTTGCGTTCGAAGCTCACGAGCGAGATGCTACGAAAGTTCATTGTATTATGTTCGCAACAATGACTAAAGAACCCAAAAGTCCTACGAGGACTACTACCCCTATGAGATGAAACAATATTTGATGGATAGGTAACATCAAAGCACAAGGCAGGAAAGGTATGAGATCATCGATTCGATAATCACTACCAAAATTAAGGATGGAGAGTCCATCACGACCCACCTGCAGAGAATACAGAGGTATGTGGCCCGCCTGCTAAAGTTAAATGTTAACTTCGATGAGGAGCTGGCCATAGATATCATACTTCACTCCTTACCTCCTTGTTACAACCAGTTCCGCATGACCTACCACATGAACATGGAGGAGGTTACTCTAAGCAAGCTTCAACGCCTACTAAGGACTACTAAGAGTAGTCCGAAAGACAAATCTGTTACATTAACTCCTGCTGCTACCACCCCCGTCTTGGCTATTAGATAAGGGAAGGGTAAGAAGAGGAAGGTTCCTTCTAAGATCCACCATAAGGGAAAGTACCACGATGGTACCTGTTCTAGTGGAACCAAGGTTGGTTCCGCTACACCCTCCTCGAACCCGAAGGATGTTGATTGCTTCTACTGCCACAACAAAGGGCATTAGAAACGAAGAAGCCTAAGGTACTTGCAAGATATCAAGTATGCGAAGGTAAAGCCGTACTTCGTAGGTATTTATACCATTCATTATAACAAATCATCACATGCTATGTCTTAGGTCCTTCATACAGGGTGTGGTTTTCACATTTGTTCTGATTTGCACGGCCTAAGAAGAAGTATGGATGTGGAGCATGGGAAGATAAACTTGATGATGGGGAATAGGAAAGCATTGCCTATTACCAAGATTTGAGTTTACTCTTTAGTGTTTAGTAGTGGGTTAGGCTTAGATTTGAATAATTGTTGTTACTCATCAGAAATGACCCGAACATTATTTCTTTTCATGGTTTATATAACACAATGTTTTAGATTTTTTTTTTGATAATGAAAAAGGTTATATTAAGGCTTTCTTTAATGATACTTTCTATCTTGAAGCATTGCCTTGTAATGAAATATATGAAGCTGGGATGGTTGTAGACAACTTAGGAAATGATGTATTGTATATCGATTCTTCCAATGGTTTGGATAAAGCATGCTTTTGGCATTGTCATCTTCGACATGTCAACAAGAAGCACATAGCCCAACTCCAAAAGTATGGAGTGTTGGAGTCATTCGACCTTAGGTATGATGATGTGTGAAAGTCTTGTTTACTACGAAAGATGACCAAGTCACCCTTCACTGGTACTTGTGAAAGGGGTGAAGGTTTATTGGATCTCATATACACCGATGTGTAACGCCGTAAAATTTCAAAAAAATTTTCACATTAAAAAAAACAATTTAATTCACAATATTATAAAACACATTGTTTCTTATATTCCACATAAGTGATGAATCAAATAATCAAGTATAGAATGAATTATAGAGTTAATTCAAAGTAAGTATGCGAGATTTGAACACCGATGTAAATATGATCTGTTTGGCTCTATTATGCTTTATCAAAGTTTATAGAGTACAATGAATATTCTGTAAAGACTTCGTTACTAAGACACTAGTAACTACTCCTATTTGTAGGAGAGGAAAGCGTACAAAAAATATACTAAGGACTAAAACATTATGCTTCGAATATTATGCCTTAGTAAAATAAAAATACAGAAAGATTCGAAGACTCTAAATACAAACGTCAACTATTACAACACTTTGACTCTAACAATCTCCCCCTTTGTAATAGAAGTTAAAGTGTTCAGTTTGTAAGTAGAGTGATGGAGTAAAGAAAAACTCTTCGAACTTCTGTGTACCAAGAAATAATCTTCTTCATTTCCTTCTTATCGCCTTCATTATTCTTTTTACAGTGGTTCATACGAACAATTCAGTTCGTATATTGAGATGTTGAATATCTCTCCACTTCGCTGGCTTGAAACAAAAACCTCTTCGCTTTTCCAACTTTATCTTTCCCAACAAAAACAATTCCAAATTGCTTTAAACACATTTCTACATCTGCATACTTCTTTAACTCAGCCTGAGTCAATGAAGAAGCCATTGGAACTTTAACTTCCATCCCCTTCACCGTTGCCAGCTCCACATCAGTTAGTGCAAGGCACTCATAATAGTTTTCAATAAAAATTTTGATCTGAGCAACTCCAAGTTTGAATTCTTCTGGATCAGTATTTTGCAGATAGGAGAAAGATTTGTCTTTAAGAAGCAATGCAACTTGTATAAGATCATACAAGTTCATTAGAGGAAAGTCAGCGATTGTGAATTCGCATGAATTCCATTTGCCCTGGCCACAATATATTTAACATTTTGAACAATATTTTTGAAGACCACATCTTTCTTCATGCTAATCACCTTCTTAGTCTTGATTAATGACCAGACTTCCTCAGGTGCTTACCCTAGAACAGCATGAAATCTAATCTTCATTTGGGTTCCTGCATCCTTTCCTTTGAAATTCCCTTCTACTTTAAATTAAGGCATGATGAACATCATCTCATTAACAGGGAAATCCAACTGGCAAGCATCAGTGTTTGTAACTACATAACTCTGTTTTGGCTTCTTTTCGAATGAGTACATGTGGTTAAAGGCAACCAAGGCGTCGCATGTTTCGTAATTTTAATGCTTAGCTGGATCACCTTTGTTCATACCCTTCGGATCTCCAGCCTTCTGAGTCATGATGCTTTGAACAAGCCTCATTCTTTTGAGTTCAGCTTCAGCTTCAGCCTTCTTTTTTTCCTTGGAATTTTCAATTAAGACTGATTTGCCTTTGTCTTTCGAAGTAGATTTTTCAACTAAGTTTTTTGGCTTCAAACCACTCACACCAGACTCCAAAGGTTTACCAATAACAATTCCTTTCGAAATTGTTCGTGTAGTTGGCAATGTTGTAACAATTGTTGAAGTCACTGGTTGAGCAGACACAAACACTGGCTTCGTCGATGGAATGTTCAAAGAAAATACCTTGCCCACCACTTTCGCTTCTTCTTCTATTGACTTCCTTTCTCCCCCTTGAACCCATATGAAAACAGGAGGGGCAGTTGTTGTGGGAAGAAGACTGGATATGCGAAAGAGTGGAGCAAGTTGCTTGTTAAGAATAGCTTCGAACTGCACAAACTTTTGGAACAAAAATTCAGGAGTAATCAAGGGACATGAAACTGGTTTTGTGGATATCACCTTTAGCTCTTTCAACAACTTCATCACTCCTTCAAAATTTTCAGCTTCAGATTTGGAGATTTGAGCAATTTGTGGACTCAAACCTTCATACATTTTAACAAACTTTGTCACTGCATCACATATGATATCAACCTTCTGATGTAAGGACGCATAATAATGTTGAACATATATAATTTCTTTGTTCATCTCTTCATGAAGCTCTTGAATTTTCGAATTCACATCTTCTCTAACCTTCTTAACCTCCTGAACACAAAGAACATGTCGTTCCTTTTCTACGCTTCTTAGATCTTTCACTTCTCCCAAAAAATCAGATCTTTGATTTTTAAGACGAAGCTCATTGGTTTGATCAGAATAATCAACCTTCTCCATCAGCACTATCTCAGAAGCCTTCAACATCCCTGACACTTTGGCAATAATTATGGACTCACACATCTTTAGCATTGAATCTACCTCCAGACTAGAAATTGATGAACCTCCTCCAAGATCAGCTTGGGATTGAATAATGGAGTTCAACTTTTGATTCAAAATCTTGTATTGTTTCATGGTCATGAGCATGTGATCAGGGAAATCTTCTTCTTCATCTTGAAATTCTAAGTCTTCAAATGTTCCTCCAAACCCTTCTTGATCTGTTTCAGTGGGTGAAGTTGGTTTGGGGGTATCAGTGGATTAAGAAGAAAACATGGAAGTGATTGGTTGATTGAGGATGTGTTCAAAAGTTGGAGATATAGTAGTTGAAGTTGGAGGAATGGTTGATGTTGGTGGAACAGAAACAAATGTTTCAAAAGGAGTAGAGATAAATGAACCTTGAGTTGCATCCTTCAAAACATTTTCACCCAAGCCTGAAGTTTGTACCTCCTCAACAAGTGACTTGGCAATCAAAACTCCAAGGGTGAATATGATAGTGGTCTCTGGAATTGAGCTTGTAAGAATAGAAGTGACTTAAGGAGTATCTGGTACTCGTTCATCCTCTTCAGTAGACTCGCTGGATAAAACAATCTTCCTAGCCTTCTTCGTCTTCTTCTTTGTTGGTTGAGATAAATGTTTCGCCATATCTTCGACTGCCCTTTTCTTGGATGCAGGAGAAACAGGAAGAGGAACCTCACGAAACATTACCCCTTGATGAGAAATTTGACGTTTGCGAAACAGTTTCTTAGATGAAGATTTGCATTTGTGCTTGGATTTCATCTTGATTCTTCGAAACATCCCTGTTTTCGAAGGAATCACCACATTTTCTTGTGACTCTTCCACAACTGGTGTAATCATTGTTGTTGCTTCGATTGTCATAGCAACAATTTCTGGTTTCTGCATTGTTGATTTGGATGAGGTTGAACTCTTCGCTTTCTTCGTAGGAGAAGTAGGCTCATCTTTATTTGACTTCTTAGTCTTCTTGGATTCGTGTGGTAGTAAAATTCCTGTAGGAATAGAAGAATCGAAAGTTTTTACATATGCCTGCAAGACAGGATTCGAAGGATCCACTCTTTAAAGCATTGCATCGGGAATCCGAGCAACACTAGGAAATTTGTCAGCATCATCAAAAACATCCTTGGGAAAATGATAAGACTGAAAAGTAACCTTTTGTTCTTTAGTAGAGACTAGAATACCCTCCTTGTTGTAGAAATGTTGTAAAATAAGACTCCAGTACTGAGCACACAAAATGCCATGGACAACATTTGTGTGTTCTACCCCTTTCTGAAACTCCTGCCATAGCTGTGTTGAATAATTAGCAGGAAGATCATAGTACAGACCAGCCACCATGGCATATATCTCCATTCGTCCTTTATCCAAGCCAATTGTTCTTCCGCTTAGACAACGCAAAAATATTCCAAACAAAAAATTCCATATTTTTGGAAGACCAGACTTCTTAAAATCACTGATCTTTGACAATGGGGGCTGATATCCCATTTCATTAAACATGTGTATGATTTGAGAGAATTGAAATTCAAGAAACGGAGGTGTATTTGGAATATCAAGAATCCGGCAAAACAATTTCTTGGAAAGCCTAACCTTCTTATCATTGATTAAAAGAAAGGTAATCAAATCAGTGGCTTTATTGTAGGTAGCTGTTGATCCTACTTAAGAAAGCCAGGATAATGGAACAAAAAAATAGTTGACCATCGCTTTTGATAAAAGAGAGTGTTTTAACGCAACTATCAGCATTTTTAATTCCTCCGGACACTATGAAAGTTCACCATTTACATAATAGTTGGTAGGTTGAATCTTCATTATTGGTACTGAGGATGTACCTTCAGTGGAAGCATCAACATGAGAAGTAGTCACCATTGTTAGGGTTTGAAGAAGATGAAGAACAAAGAATTTTGGGAATTTTGGAGTGTTTGATCGCGTAAGCATAGAATGTACTCTAAACCCCCTTTTATATGTAACGCTAGATGATTTGAATTTGAAACGGGATGCATTTAATGAAATCCAACTTGGCACCTTGAAAATCGGACCAGTTCTGCGGAAAGTTAGCCATGCGTTAAAAATCGTCTATCACATCTCCTAGAAATCCGGGTTGAATACCATACGTCACGGTTACACAACCTGTCACTATCCCCTTTATTGAATAGTAACCGTTAGAACCCTTCAAATGGAGGCATGGCTCTTTCACTTTTGGGATGAAAATTCGAAGTCATATGCCAGATGTTCGAAATCATCAGCTTGAGTTGGTATTACTCAGAACCTCAAGGATTTCGTGTGTGTAGTCTGCCAAATAAAGGTTAGACAAGAAACAATTATTTTTTTTTGGAATGTAGTGATGTCAAAATTTCAATTTGACACGAATGCAGTTAAACCCCGGGCAAAGGTTGCTTCGTTAATCATCAAGAGAGATGATCAACAGCTTGTGTATGTTCCCGTGAAGTACAATCGACTACTTTTTGATAAGCATCAAAGGGCTTCTTTTAAATGTAATTCTTGGGTTCACTACTAGAAAAACAGCCTTTTACGACGCGCAAAACACGACGCTCTTTGATTTATGTTACGCATTAGAGAGTGACATTAAAAAAGTATCATCTCTTCAAAAATTTTAAGGATAGTGGACACGCATTTGTGCGTGCCCTAAAATAAGTGTTAGAAAAGAAAAAAAATATAAACACGGAGGGCGCTTATCTTAAACGTGTGACCTCTTCAAATGTCGCTTTATACTTTTGCTTAAACACGCGTTTTTAAAGGGGGAAAACGAAATTGTGAAATTCTAAAATTTTGAAGAATCCCGCTTCTACCCTCTCTCATCAATATAACCCTTCATTCACTCCTTCCTTCTCTCTGTAAACCCTAATCGCCACCACCACCTCCACCACCATTGAACCTTAAAATCTGAATCCAGACTTCACTTTAATTCACTCAATCCGGCCCTTAAATTTTAGCAAACCCACCAGAACCCTAAGTCATGCCTTTTATGCTTTCACATCCTTCCTTCCATAGTCCCGCCTCTATCGCATCGCTCTGCTCACCGTCGTCGTCTTAGGCTCTTACGCCTCCATCGTGGTCTCTGTGCTCATTGTATCATCATACATGCCATTTATTCTCGTCGTTCTTCTCCTTAATCCTACGCAGGTAAATATCATCAGTACTCCCTCCTATCGTTGTTCTGCTCCTTGACCCTACACAGAGCATGGCTATTACCTTCTTTTCCAACGACCCATCAACCCAAATCCTGACATGGCTATCCTATGGCGATTCACCGCCCAATGCCGACGACTATGGCGACGATTGGAATTCAAGCTTTTGACCTAATACACTTCATCTGAGAACGACAAGGAAGATTCGATGAATTCAATTAGACGGTCAATTGTTCACTTCTCGAGGTGTGTTACGATCTCTATCTTTTATTAGTTTTGTTTGTAGATTTTGGTATGATGCTCGTTTCTTCAATCCCTTAGAGACATGGCTTTTAACATGTCATCATCATAACTGGATCTGGATCAGTAAATAATAGAGTACATGAAATTGAAATTGAAATTGGTATTATCAAGCTGAATGGATATCGATTTGACTCCAAATTGGAGTCAATCGAAGGATTATTTGGTAATGTGCTCATTCTTTTATTTTCAACAGAGACAAGTTTTGTTCAAGAGACTGATGCCTGCTGCTTTTTAGATTCACTTCCATTTTTCTTTCAGTTTACAACATCTTTTATATGTGAGGTGATATTGCCACGACTCTTTTTTTTAATCCACGGATTTTAAACATATTGACTATTTTGCCTCTCATTTATATGGCCTTCTCCGTCTCTCACTCTTCCACCTAAATAACTATCTTCCTTTTTTGTACAAACCATCTAAAATGGGGAATTGGAACGGTATAGCCTATTACTAGAAATGCATTAGGAAAAGAGCATATTTAGGTGAAAATGATGGTCACAGGTGATAGGATTCTGTTGGAGATTGTGGTTCAAGGGGATCTCTAGCACTGTGAGATGAGGAATGAGTTCATTTGGTGTAATGGTTTATCAAAAATGAAGCGTATGCATCCTTTGAATAAATTAATTGCATTCTAAAGATAGATGATGAAGGGCATAACTATCAATTTACTTTAAAAATCGATGGATGTATAAAAAGATGTGGAATTGTCAGCTCCCCTTATATATATATATATATATATATATATATATATATATATATATATATATATATATATTAGAATTTCTTTTTATCATAGCATTATAAATAATAAATATACAATCTTTTTATGTACAGACATTCCAGGTCTTGTTTGAGTACCTCCAACTTCTGGATAGCTTATTAGTGCTATCAGCTATACAAGAGATGAGTCGTGGTGTGGAGGTAAGATTACTAAGATACCCTTCATATACATTCATCATTATCCTATATTACTTTGCCAACTGGACATATACGTGTACATCATCTATACTGATACAGTCATCACAAACGTACATTACAAATATGGCTGGGAAGAACTCTACAGAAGTTGGATTCACTTTTATTGGGTAGGATGTTGAACACAACAGGGGAGGATGTTGAAGACAACCCTATGGCTGTTGAAGTTGATAAATCTGATATTTCTGGTCTTACATGGATGAAAGTTCCATGGACTAATCAGCTTGCTGTTAGAATCAAAGATGGTTTGAAGTACAAGTTCATTGGTTTTCGTGATCAGGTAGCTTTTCATGGTGATTCATTGGTTTTCGTGATCAGGTAGCTTTTCGTGATCAGGTATCTTTATTACATATCAAACATATTTTTCCTTATCATAGTGTTCTATTTTATTATATTACAGGATGTTATTAGCCTGACCAACTTTATCCAGAACTCCTGTGGGTTAACAACAGAAGAGAAACAACTTTCTATTAGTGGGAAAAACTAGGGAGAAGTTGATTTACATGGTTGAGACCTTTATCCTTATCTTGTTTTGTAAAATCTCCAAATTAGTATATTGTGGAGCAACACACATTTAGTAATATTGAGATGTAAATGAAACTAGTTAACATGTTATTCATACTAGTATCTTCCTTTCTGAAACTTTTCAGGCAATATGCTGTCTTTTCTTGTTGGTTCAAAGCAAGCATTTGAAGTCTCCTTAGCCGATGTCTCCCAAACACAACTACAAGGAAAGAGTGATGTCATATTGGAATTCCATGTGGATGACACAACTGGTGCAAATGAGGTTCCTATTTGTTAATTACTTTCAAATTTCTTCCTCATGGTATATGATAGTTTTGATTTTTAACTATTTTGTTTTTCTTTTTAATTTGATGCAGAAAGATTCTTTGATGGAGATAAGTTTTCAATTGAAGCCTTCTTATGTTTTTTCCTCTCATCTATCTTTTAATGTTGTTCAGATTGTAACTAATCTTTGCAAATTGATACATACCATGTTATGAAAACTGAAATGTTTATAACCAATTCATATTGAAACTGGTAATTTATTTTCCAATCTAATCTTCTCATTCCTTTACTCCATCTCCCTACAAGTTTCTAACATGCTTTCTGAACAATCCAGAATCCAGGTCAACTTAAAGTTCATCCAGGTGGTATATTATGGAAGAAACAAGGAGGTGGTAAGGCTGTTGAAGTTGATAAATATGATATTTCTGGTCTTACATGGATGAAAGTTCCACGGACTAATCAGCTTGCTGTTAGAATCAAAGATGGTTTGAAGTACAAGTTCACTGGTTTTCGTGATCAGGTAGCTTTTTATGTTGATTCATGCATGTATCTTTATTACATATCAGACATCTTTGTCCTTATCAAGTTATCATAGTGTTCTATTTTATTATGTTGCAGGATGTTATTAGCCTGACCAACTTTTTCTAGAACTCCTGTGGGTTAACAACAGAAGAGAAATAACCCATGACTTTTTCTGATGATATCACAACAATCCTGAGCAGTATCAATCTTAATGGATCCATACAACCCATGACTTTTTCTGATGATATCACAACAATCTAAGAACACTTGATATTTTAGAGGGTATTGTTCTTGATTCTTATACTCAATAAAAAAAGAATTTCATATGATAAAAGATTACATTGATCTGTCAATGAATCAACTTATTGGAAATATTCCCTTCTCATATGAGTTTTCTTGCCCTAGGCTATTATGAAGAAACTAGTGGAACTTAGTGGACATGGAATGACAAGATGAGCCACATCTGGATAGATATCGGTGCCAGCTTGGAGCATCTAGAAGGAAAAACACTTCTAGGTATGTTGACCTTGAATGACGCTTGAGCCCCTATCTTTAATCTTGTTTTGTCTTTTGAACGAGGGTTAGAAAGTTATAATAGAAACTAACTTGCCGTTTTTGATAGTTTTGAAGTTTAGACTAGAAGTTAATAAAGGTCATGTGAATAACCTTCAAACAAAACAAATGAAATTTCTTCTGTTTATTTTTTAGTTAATTTGGTAGCTTACTAATTGGGGAAATACTCAAATAACATGATGCCAACGTATGATATATATTTTTATAGGAAAATGAACCATTTATGCTATTATTGAGGGTCATATTTTGTCATTTGTAGATAAAATGTCATTATTTATTTAAATATTATGTCTCTACATGTTTATAGGTAATTCAAAGAAAATTAGTAACTGTGCTTACACTATCCACCTTGATCAATGGCAACATTGGGCCTTGATCAATGTCTTACACATGGACTATCCAAATCCAATGCTTCCTGTTGCATCTTCAACAATAGATGTTACTGGTATGGTAAAGTCATTATTCTTTATAACAACTTGAAGGATTGTTTTGTAAAATTACTCAACTTTTTGTTGTATTATATATTTATACTTTTATTATGCTTACTAGTTTGGCAACATTGTTGATCCTAGACAGCACTTATTTTGTAGTTATGTTTTTTTGCAGGCAATATAGATACTGTGACTAACTTCATAGATTTAGAGTCCTTGAGTGGTGTTATTAAGGAAGACTGGAGACAAATCAGACACACATTTAAAAAAATCAGCACATATCTTGTTTACAGTGAGGCACACATTAGGTTATTAGAACTATTAGTTTGTAAATTTTTTTTACGTCTATTGATTTATTTTATCTTTCCATGCAACAGCTATTTGTATGACATTAACTTTTGTGCAATGTATGGTATTTTTTATATATGGTATTTTATTTTCTATTATGAGACATGAAATGCAAATTTAATTTGAAAATCAGTAAATCTATAAATAATTTTTTTTAAAAAAAAATTTAAAATTACGATACGCAAAAATGTGTGTCGTCTTCATTTATGACATGGCCTTTCTTGACAGGGGCTTCCTTGATTAGCATTGCGTGTCATAAACACGCGCGTCGTAAGGTTACGACACGCAAATGCGTGTCATTTCAGGGCCTTCCTTGATACGGATTGCGTGTCATAACCGCACGTCGTAAATGCGCGTCGTCTATAGACGACGTGCAAAAGCGCGTCGTCTCTCTTTATGACAGGCTTTCCTTGACGCGCATTTGCGTGTCGTCTGAGCGTTTTACGACGCGCAATGAGCGTCGTAAAAGGCTTTTTTTTCTAGTAGTGGTTGGTTTAAAATTTCGTTACATGTCATCCTAAACATAAGGTGATAAATTGTAACAGAAATTACTTGTTTGACTAGTGTAGTCAGTGACAAGTTTGCTTTGAAAAATATGATCATGACAAGGATATGCGAATGAAACTCACACTGAAATCATATTCATAAAAAAAAGTTTGTTCTGGATCTTGTTGGGTAACAAACATCTTGGGTTTCGAATGTTTGATCAAGACCACGCATTCGAAGTGAATATGATTTGGTGTTTCGAATTTTGGTACAGAAACAAAAGTTTCGTTAATATCAAGAACAATGTTCCCCGTCAATTCCTTAAGTTTAAAGATGTTTGGGTTTCACTTTCATCACAGACTCATGATGTCAGATTATTAACACAGAATTTGTATATGTCTAGGTCTCGATGGGTTTGATTGATGACCTCTCGGACATTCTTTGTGTGTGCTCGTGTAAGAATGTATGGATGAAAAAGATTGGTGTAAGACACGAAAAGTACCTTTGTTATGTTTTGGACCAAACAGAAAACTCTTAACTCATTGTGGGAAGAGTAAGGTAGCTGAGAGATTAATGTGAATATAAGCCTGATTGGGAAGAATTTTTCGAATGAAAATTTCATTAAGGCTTTCGTACACACACATTGAGTCATGGAGGCTTTGGTCGACATGCAACAACATGATTCTAGGGACAACCTAAATAATTCGAATAATGAAAAAGATAGTGATGCATACATTTTTTTTTACCTGTCCCCAATACTGCATGCTTTTTCCCTTTCAAATCATCATCAAAATCTGTAAAAATTAAAAATATTTTTGTTGTTTTTGAGTTTTTCGAAAATTAAGACACAAAAAAAATGAAAATATTTTTGGTTTTTAATTTTTCAAAAATTTTAAAGACAAAACAAAAGAAAATCTTTTTGGATTTTTAATTTTTCGAAAATTTAAAGTCAAAACAAAAGAAAATCTTTTTGTGTTTTTGATTTGTTGCAAACAAACACAATTTGACATTCTTTGAAAAGTAACAAATGTACGAATTCGAAGCGTTCGAAGCGTCGACTATGAACAGTAACCACTGATGCAACGCTAAAGATCAGTGACAATCATGCGAATTCGAAGCGGTCGAAGCGTTGACTATGAACAGTAACCGCAGAATGCTAAATAACTTTGTTCATCGCCTCTGACTCATTATTGTTCGCTTACTATTCATCTTTTTCGCACGGAATAGAATTGCCATCGATCATTCCAAGACCTTCTATTATTCACATCAGAGACTTTTCATCCAAAGCTTTCATGAAAATATCAGCTAACTGATCAGTTGTTTTCACGAAATGAACTTCAATATTTCCATCCTCCACATGATCTTTAATGAAATGATAACGAAGAGCTATGTGTTTAGTCTTCGAATGCTGCACTGGATTATGACAAATTCTTATTGCACTTTGAGAATCACAATATAATGGAATCTTTTTCATATTAATTGCATAATCACGTAATTGACTTTGAATCCATATTATTTGCGAAGTGCATGCAGCAGTAGCCACATATTCTGCTTCAGCCGTGGAAATCGACACACATGTTTTCTTTTTCGACTGCCAACTGAGTAATTTGCCATCAAGTAATTGACATCCACCACTTGTGCTTTTTCGATCAAGATTACAACCACCCAAGTCTGCATCTGAGTATTCTTGAACGAAGAATCCTGTTTTCAAAGGATACCACAATCCTAACGAAATAGTGCCTTTAAGATAACGAAAAATATTCTTCACAGTAGTAAGATGTGGTTCGCGTGGATTAGACTGATACCTAGCACAATTACACACAACAAACATGATATCAGGTCGACTTACTGTAAGATAAAGTAACGAACCTAAGATACTACTATACAACGTTAAATCAACAGCAGATTTGTCTAACGATGGTGTTAACTTTATGCCCGTTGTCATTGGTACACGAAGCTTAGTGCTATACATCAATCCAAACTTTTCAAGCAAATTTTTCGTATATTTTTCCTGATTGATAAAAATCCCTTCTCTGTTTTGACGAATATTCAATCCAAGGAAATTATTGATTTTTCCCATGATGCTCATTTCAAATTTTCTTTTCATCAAATCTTCAAATTCATTAGACAAAGCAGGATCAGTTGAGCCAAAAATAATATCATCAACATAAATTTGAACAAGCATAAGATGATTCCCTACTTTCTTTCGAAATAGTGTAGGATCAACAGATCCTTGTTTAAATTTAGATTATTTCAAAAATGATGTAAGTGTTGCATACCATGCTCGTGGTGCTTGTTTTAGACCATAAACTGCCTTATCTAAAATATAAACATGATTAGGAAATTCTTCGTTAATAAAACCTGGGGGTTGTTCCACATATACCGTTTTTCAAGCTCTCCATTAAGAAATGCACATTTCACGTCCATTTGATAAACATCAAAATCTTTGTGAGCTGCATAAGCTAGGAATATTCGAACCACCTCGAGTCTTACGACAGGGGCAAAAGTTTCTTCATAATCGATTCCTTCTTGTTGTGAATAGCCTTTTACAATAAGTCTGGCTTTATTTCGAATAATGTTTCCATCTTTTTCGGTTTTATTTTTAAAAATTCATTTTAACCTGACAATCGAAACATTTTCAGGTTTAGGAATTAATCTCCAAACCTTGTTTCGTTCGAATTCAGACAATTCCGATTGCATTGCAACAACCCAATCTGAGTGTTCCATTGCATTCATAACTGTTTTTGGTTCAATTTTAGAAATGAAAACATTAAACATACAAAATTCTTGATGAGTATTCAATATCTCATTCTTTACACGAATTTGAGCTCTTGTTAACACTCCTTCGTGTGGATTCCCAATCGCTTGATCCTTTGGATGATCTCTAGTCCATTTTTCCATGGGTGGATATGCTAGATCAAATTCCTAAGATCATAACATGTAAATAAGCTCTGCGTGTGTGTGTACTGATCGTGCCGGCGCCTTCCCGCGATCCTCACTGGTACTTGAAACACATAACACAAACACTGTAAGCACGAAGCTTATTGAGTTCCCCAAATACCACATATAGCACTTATTAGCCACTCAAGGCTATAACTTTGGTGTGCCCTTGGGCCCTAACTCTATGGACCCCCTGGTCCTAGCTCTGTGGACCTTCCGGTCCTAACTCTGATATACTCACAGCATAATCACATAGAAATAATGCAGTGCAACACATCACATAGATAGCATACAAGATGCTCTATCACATAACTCTGGTTACCTACGCAAGGTAAAGTATAGTGAGAA